TTAAGGTCTAAAGTGTTCTCATAACTGGGTGATCTGAGATTTTCAGCAGTCTCAGCCGCAGCTATTGTCATCTCTTTCGGATGTTCTTTGGGTTCCTCGGCGCTAAAACCACTCGGAAACCGGTACTGCTGACGAAGTCGTGATTTCCATGCTCCACTATCTGTCCTCACACACCGAATTTAACCTGCCTGGGACATTTAGGCAATGTTCAGTTTTCCCGGCCGGATCATTACTTCAAAAAGTTTATCCTTGTTATTGAAGGTCTATAAAAGCAACATCTATCTCTCGCTACCGCACGAGGTTTTGAATTGATCCAGAAAATGCTTTCCAAGGGCTTGTGATCCATATCCAACTAAAACTACGACCATATCAAACATGCTAAAACGCCCACTTTCAGGGACATTTCACTCATCCGTTTATTAGTAAAAAATGACCGGCCTGGGCGCCATTGTGAGGAAACTATCGTGAAATGCTTCTAGGACTCTACGCCAGTCCAAACAACAGGAAATAAACCTGATTCTAGAAGTTTATCTCCTCGCTGTAACTTTGCCAACTCATAACTGGGCGGAAGATTCATCCACGGCCTTTCACCCTTAATAGTGTCATCTCCAAGCCATCTTGTGGAAAAAGCCCGGCGCGGAGTCGGGAGATTGTTACCATGGGAACTGTGGACTGTCCTCATGTGGAAGACTATACAGTCTCCAGGCTGAAACAGGGTACAGTTTAAATATATGAAATTGCGCATATTCACTTTCACTAGAAAAAGAAAATTGCTTACGTCACTGTGAACCTCCTATGCGGTGAGTGATCAAATGCCTTTGCGCGTGCTTCGCTACATTTCTCAACCTTAGACCGCAAAATGACAACTGCATGGCCAAGGTTCTGTAGTGCAAGGATAAGTTTCGACTGATTATTTACTGATTGCAATGGCTCTTTTAAGTGCTGCGCTCAGTAGCCTGTTCCGGCCAGGCGTTCGGATCGTGCCGGAACAGCGCAGCAGCACTCGGGCCTATCCCGGCGAACACCTGGAACAGGCTATGCGCTCAGTGAAGTATTGAGCTCATCAGATAAACAAATCTTTACTTACCTCCATATTCCAGGTTAAAACTTCATTGTCTTTGTTGCAGTCAAAGTCTAGTGTTGGCAGAAAGCGTTTTGCTTCTTCTTCCTGTCCTGGTTTAGTTTCATAAGATGAAAACGGCGGGCCATCGAAATGCACTGGTTTGAAGTACTGGGGCCAAGTGTGCGACCCTTTCACCAGGCGAAGACAAGTATACTTAGAAACTGGGTCCACTGGCAGCCAGATAGAGCATACCTGTTAAAATGAAAGTACAGTTTCTGTTAGTTTACTTCAGTGTTCAATGACTTGACGATACTACATCAACTGTACGGGTATTTCGTGGTGTTGGGAAAAGTAGTGTGGCCGATATTGATCACTGCTCTAGCTCAAATCCTCTCTAAGACATAACAAAACTTAGAAACAAGTATAGTAAGAAGAAAGAAAGGTTTTACCTGCTGTCCGTCGATCTCGTAGTACGCCTGATCCTGGTGCCAAGGAGTTTCCTTTGTTGATCCACTTTCCTTCACGATCACGTGGTTGTGATACAGAGCTACCTTCTGAAAACATTATTTAAACACAAGCATGACCCTTTCCTTTCAAAACTGTAAGAGTTTGAAACTATGAGTACAGACAGTGAGGTTTAAGTGATAAATGCTATCCTTTAAGGCAAATTAGGGTACCTTTAGCGCGTTTACCTAAGATACGAGAAAGTTCCCTCTTTAGTCTACAAAAGGTGTTGAAACTAAACATAATTCTCTGTGGTAGTGTGCGTAGCAGGCGCTTGGAAGTAGTTGGCGAAAGAGAGAACGGGCGCATGCGAGGGAGACGCGCGCCCGTTTTGTCTTGTGCCCACTACCTCCAAGTGCCTGCTTCGCAGGCTATCTCTGTGGAAAATTATTCTTCATAAACACTGGGAAAAGTCTGTAACTAATGATCAGTGCCCATTTTTTGCCGCCTCTAACATTCATGCTAGACATAAAATGCCTCCTCTTACTTCACCGTGTTTTCATGACAACTTTTTATTAAAAGATTGAGAGTGACTAGCCTGTTCCAGGCTCCCTATGATGTAAACATACCGTAAAATTCCGAAAATAAGCCCCGGGGCTTTATTTTTCAAAGGCCCTTTTTGAGGGGCTTATTTTTGGAGGGGCTTATACATGGAGGGGCTTATTTCGGAATTTTACGGTATGTATGGGAATAAGCTCCTGCCTAACATCAGATTGCTTACCGACGACTGAATGAGCCTTGCTGCAATCTCTCCTGCTGGTGAGTGTAAAACAAACTCCTTATATTCTGGTATGCTATTCCAATTGTTGTAGTCATGAAAGAAAAGAGGGGAGTGGCCTTTCCGTTTTGTCATTTCGGACGGGTGGAGCCGGTTATCTTCAATCCCTTTCCTCAGTAGGTCAAGCCACTTCACATCAAACAAACCTTGTAAACATATCGCTCCATCGTTTTGAAATGTTTTTATCTCCTTGTCTGAAATGGCACTTGAAAGCAGTTTTTCCGTCATAGTGTCCTGCAGATGCCTACCATATCAATTAAAACGAGTGTTAAAATGAAACAGAAAGGTATTTTGTGAACAGGCCCTATGGTGAGCCACTTTGTTGGTGCCCAGTCGTCAACAGAGAGCCTGTCCACATCCTGACGAATACAAGCTTCAGTCGTGAAAGAGCCATTTACTGAAAAGGTTAAGTATCTGGGAAGAAATATGCCCCAACACGACCGTCACGACGCCTGAAGTTTGTCACTTGATGAAGTTATTGCGGACATATGTGACATTCGAGTTCGCCGGCTGTTAACATCCACTTATAAACCTCGCGTCATATAGCGAGTACCCTGCTACACAGCCGTTTTTAGTGTCGTCACGCAACGCTAGTGGGGAGAAGCGTTGCGTGACGACACTTAAAACGGCTGTGTAGCAGACTATATAGCGAGTCCCCCTAAAAAGATAGCAAATTCCGATTAGCGATCTGCCAGATCTGCGCTCTTCCGACGCAAAAAATGATGAAAAATTTGATAAGATTTTACAGCGGAGCAGGTAGTCGTTCTCTCTCAGGGTTTGACGTACTGTGTTCGAATCCTGTTGACTACCGAGCCGGAAGCTACCATTTCTTTTTCGAGCTTTTAAAATGCTGCTGGTGATTTACACAGTTTGTCTGACGGACCTCTGCCTGCTGCCGGTCATAATAAGCAACAGTAATTTACCGGTAGTTAAACGTCAAGTTTCTCCTCTTTTAATACTGGCTGTACAAATAACCAGGCAACTTTTCATACTGTAGTCGACTGCGTTTATACGTGCAGTGTTTCAAGTTTTTGTTCATTCTACAAGTACAAACAGTTATTTGAGGTAAATCACTTAGATCAGGCCTTAGTTTCTAACCCTTGCTCCCTTGTCCCTGTTTCTTGAATATCCTGTGTTGTGTACAATTGCAGAAGAAAAATCAACATACCTTGTTATAAGAAGGACGCCTGATTCTCATCGAGAACAAAACTTGGCGTGACTGTTTAAATCTCATTCTCTCTCCAATTTTGTGGATGCTAGGACCCTGGAAGAACTTCCGTGTGGGTGTCAATCAATCGGCAATCACGGAACTGAGAAAATACATCTCGTGATTTCGGCCTCCTGAATTAAACGACAATGTCTCAGCCCACACAAACTAATAGCGATGATTCAGTGCAGTGTAACGCATCTGAATGTTGGGGTGCCCTGCAGAAGTTGCGATCTCATTGCCCGCTAATTCAATGCATCACAAACTATGTGTCCATGGACATCATGGCCAACACTCTTCTGGCGATCGGAGCGTCACCTGCTATGGCACACGGTGAGTTGAATGGATTTGCATTTGTAATCATTTTTATCATACAACTGATATTAAAATTCAATTTGTCAGCTGAGGAAGAAGTTGAAGAGTTTGTAGCCTTGGCCTCAGCACTTTTGATCAACATTGGAACTCTGTCTGCTCCATGGGTTAAGTCCATGCACAAAGCTGCGTCAAAGGCTCAGGAATTAGGAAAAGTCTGGGTACTGGATCCTGTTGGCGTTGGTGCCACTGAGATACGAACAAAGCTAGCAACAGATTTGGTTCTTTCTCACAAACCAACAGTGATAAGGGGTAATCCCTCTGAAATCATGGCTCTTGCGAAAGGAATTTGTAAAGAAGTGAATCTTCAAATATCAGGTAATATTCATAACACAGTGTGACTTATATCATTTTGAAATTTATGAAAATCTTTGGCCAACACTGACTCCTCACAGCGCCACCCCTCGCCCTCCCCACCCTCTTCCTCCCTCTCCCTCAACTGAAAAAAAGTGGCCTTGTAAAGTTTTGAAACTTAAGGCAGAAACTCTTTTGGGATTTCAGGTTAGTGGATTCAACAGATTCAAGAAGTTTTAATTAAAAGCGCATTTTTCACTTTTCCACAGATGGAACTCAAAAAGGAGTTGATAGTTCTGAGAGTTCTGATAATGCTCTTGCTCCAGCCAAAGCCCTGGCCACAGAATGTGGTTGTGTCGTTGTGGTTACAGGAGAACATGACTACGTTACTGATGGTTCAAGAGTGATTGTTGTATCAAATGGTGATGCAGTTCTCAAAGTTATCACTGCAGCTGGGTGTGCACTAACTGCGACATTGGCAGCATTTGTTTCTTTAGTGGACCCAAATGACGTAACACAAGTTATGAAGAGCAGTGCTTTTGCACTAAGTGTTTTTGGAATTGCCGCAGAATTAGCTGTAAAACAACCTACAGTTAAGGGCCCTGGTAGTGCCAGAATGCACATGTTAGATGCATATGGTAGCATAAACATGGAGACATTACAAGAAATGGCTAAATTTTCGTAACATCTTTCTTATGCCCTATTAGGACTGTTTTGTGTGAACAGTTTTGTGTGTGTTCTACTTGCAAACCATCAGTACACATCAGAAAGAGTAGAAAACCCCTTTTTTTTACTACCATCTTCATTTTCACTAGTTCGGCACGCAAGTATTTTTCTCTTTTAGTGAACTTTTAATAATATTTTCTCAACACAATTTTAATGCTATGTTACCAGAATATCAATGTCCTAATAATAATAAAGCCTGCAGGAATTTGGGGTTGTTAGAAGGTAAGGCCAAAGCTTTTGACTCACACTCTAATGAGTTACATGTATGCACAGGTGTTTTGACATAAGGAGTTTCCATTTAGAAGAGCTGCAGGGAACTTAATATGAACCCACAAAAGTACTTTGTTAGTTGTAGGCAGGCTTCAATAATATTGAAGGTGACTTTGTAGGCAAGATATTTTTGTACAAACCTGTAGTACACGTGTAGAAACTGGAACATTAATAAAATAACTTGAAGCAGTGTTGGATGAAACCTTAAATTAATGTGTCCATTCATTGCACTAATACTTTCCTCTCCTGAGGAACTATTAATATTGTGTTTTGTCTGGCTGAAGACAGTTCTAACTTTAAGTATTCAAACAGGTCAAATTCTATTAGGTGGCCATTTAAATAAAACCCTTAATTTACTGTTGGTACTGTCAACTCTTGTTGCCAATTTAACAACAATAATAAAACAATACTGGGCATTATTGGCCTTTGGTTTCTCCTTTGAAAAAAACAAGAACAGTTTCTTGAACCTCTGCTATGAGTTCTCTTGGACATGTTTCATCATAACACAATGGTAATGGCTGTGTCCAGGTCATGGAGAAGTTGCTGTATCCACCATAACTGGTCTTCTTTTTCTTGGACTTCCTCTTTGTGGTTTAGCTACAGCTGTCTTCTTGGCTGCAGCACTTGTTCCTTTCTTTGCAGCTGCTACTTTCTTTACTGGACTTGCTTTTGATTTTTTTCCTGTTGATGGGCTGTATGTGTCTTCAGACTTTCTTTTCTGTAAAAATATTGGCATGCCAATGTCAGATCTGTTATGATGTACATTTCTTTCTCAGAGTGAATTCTAATTGTCAATTATTGACCACTCTAGAAAATACCATAACATACCATAATGCTCTTTGTTTGTCACCCCAAATTTTTGCATAAGCATTGTCTTCAGTTTCTCTTGGGAGTTAAAATGGCCCCAAGACTAGAAATTGAAAACAATGCTTATGCAAAATTTGGCGAGGGGGGGGGGGGGGGGGGAAAAAAAAAGGGGGGGGGGGGGGGGGGGGGGGGCAAACAAAGAGCATTATGGTACGTTATGGTACTTTCTGGAGTGGATAATTCACTCTGATGAAAATTAAGCTACAATAAATATGCCACAAAATCAATTTTTTTACATAATTACCGGTAACCCTTTTCAATAACCTTTGTGACTTGCAAAATGATTGCAGTTTCTTTACTTTTAAAGTTCTCATCGACCCTTTAACTGTGACTACTGGTATTATGGAGTAACTAGTTCCCATTCAAGTTGCCAGATTTTATTTTCCACCTAAACAAGCTGGGTGAGCTGCTACACTGTGTAATGTTCTTACAAAATGAAAATGCACCAGATGAATCAATGTTGATTTTGATGAGTTACATAATTAAAATGTTATTCACATTACTCTTTAATAGCCTTGATCCCAAACATCTTTCCACTGAACACTAAAACTTAGCAGACACAATTTCTTACCCTAGCTCCACTTTTCTGTCTTGAAGCATTATCCCTGGTCTCATTTTCCACTTTGTCATGTCCATTGCACAACTCTGTTGAAGCAGTTGTAGAGGGTGGGCTGGCCTTCCCTGAAGTTAATTTGACATTTTTTCCATCATCAGTACATCCTCTCCTTTTGAGACCATCTCTGAACAGTTTGCGTATGTGTTCATAATCTGGTTCTTCCTCGTACTTCAATGTGTTGACATACTCAAGATATCTCTGGATCTCCACTGCAATGAAGAGGGATATAATCTATAAATTTATAAATTATAGATTATATTATTATAAATATATAATTAACAATAAATGAATGAGGCTGAGTATCTTATGAAGAATTATGGAGATCGAGGAGGGTGTTATCCGTCCAGGCTGTAGGCCGAGGTGGATAACACCCGCCAAGATCTCCATAATTCTTCATATGATACGAAAGCCGAATTCAATAATATTATTGTTTTATTATTCAGTCAAAATAATTCCTAGTTTAAAAACAGGGCTAAAACATGCTTACCTCCATTGATCCATCAATGTTAAGTTCATCTTCGATAGTGCACGTTTAGGTTTGTCCAGCTCCGCAAATATTCTCCAAATAGCAGATGTCACCCTTCGAGTTGTCTTCTTGCTGTTCTTGCCATGTTTTTTAGTTATTTTTTTGCCTAGTTCTTACTCTTAAAACAAGTGAAATGTCCACCATTTTTCAAGTTCACAACCAAAACAACTCAACCTCGTCCCCAGGTCTTCTCGGTTAACGGTGCCTTAACCTGCACGAACGCTGCATTTTTGACTTCATTTCCTTGTTAAACACAAAATTCTTCCAAATTTGGTCATCAAAAATTGGTTATGGTGAATTATGCGTGTGCTTTTAGCCAATCAGAATCAAGGAAATATTTTGAATGAATAATAATAATAATAATTTATTTAAAATATTTTCCAGTCTAACATGGCTCAAAATATCTTTCTCCATTTTCAGTTCTTCTGAATTAACAAAACCCTTCTTCAATAGTTTTCCATTTGACCAGAAACTCAAAGGGGTTGAAACACGTTACTAGACGTGTTGAATGCCCCCAAACATATTTCAGTTTGGCTCAAGTCACTTCCTCAAGTCTGTGCATAAATTGTTAACTAAGATTTTTCTAAAGTTTCAATAAAATGGCTGATGGGAGTTCAGCTAATGGATTCTTCTGCATGATACCTGTTAGCAAGCCAAGCTTAGTTACCCGTTTTAATAATACCTTTATACAGTTTCCTTTTAGACTTTTCAAGTTACCATAACAACTTTATAATCTTTAAGCAACAACCTTAATTTTCGTGTTTCGTCTAAGTTTTGTTTGTAAATGATACATTGTGCTTGGCATATCAGTTTACCTTTGAACCAATTTATAAAATAAATCTGTCAAGAGGGTCCAGAACCTCGATGACTGTCTATCAATTTGAGATTGCTCCTGACCCTCGTTAACAGAATTTCTTCAGAAAAAACACTTACCAGGGTGATTTCCATGAAAACAGTCTTTCATTAGCTTTGGTATGTCATTCATATACCTTAAAAGTTATGAAGTTCTCTTAGAAAATAAACAATGTTAAAAATACAATCTCAAAATTGTTTCTTTACTTTAAATACCTGGGTTTAATATTGAAGCAACAAAGAAATTTCTTTCAATGATAAGAAAACCTTCCAGTGAACTACTTAAAAATTATTTAGCATGTGTCATAAAAAGCCAAAGAATGTAGTAGTTTTGATGATTGATGGGTAAGGCATAATTTGTTTACCTTGTTTTTTCATTCCTAACATATTCCTTGTCATTAAGATTTTTTTCCCATGGAAGTCTGTCACACAACCACTGCAGCATAACATAACCCAAGATCTCCAAGTCACCACGCCTAGAGGTAACTACAAAAATCAAAACAGGCTTATTTGACAGTGATTTATACAGATACTTAGTGATAATATCGCTGGAGGTGAAGCAAACGGTAGATCTAGTACGTTTACTGTAAAATATAAACAATCGGTTACGCACAGAGATTGTGTGCGCCCCCTGCGGCAACACATTTTAAAAAATTCAGGCACCTGGGGATGTATGATTGAATGATGATGGTTGAGACTGACCACTTTCAACACATCTTACCTACGCCATTGTGTGCATCTCTGCTTGTGAACTCTATTGTGCCATCATGTTTTCTTTTAGGATCCTCTTTGTATTCTTTGTGTTTTCCTTCAGGATTAAAACGATACACAAGGCCATAATCCAGCAGGTAAACCTGCAAACAACAGTAACAATAATATACAGGTTTAACCAAGCTCCTGTTAAATATCAACATTTCTCCTTATGTTTATCACCCATTTACTCATTCTAAAGCAGAAATAAAAAAAAATCTTGCTAAATACCTCTAACACAGATAATTAAAACTTGAGCATTGGTCAGTGAGTAAGTTTTGAAAAAAAATGCATCTGGGTAATGCACTTAAGCCTGTGATATCATCAAGTGATGCAAGTCAGCAGATATTGGACTTTGGTAAGGATGTATATCAGTATTAAAAGAAGAAGGACTTACTTGGCCAGTTCTTGATTTGGCGAATCCCATCATTAGATTAGAACCTTTTATGTCACCATGGGTGTATTCATGTGCATGAATATATTCCAGAGCATCAAGCTGATGGATAATTATTAAAGAAACAATTTTTCAATAAGGTTAAATAGCAAATAACCAAACAAAGATATCCATCCTGCCTTCATGCAAGAATACAACACTGATGTCAGGTCAACAGTCTCGCAAGTAGCTTTGTCAAAAAACAAACTAAAGCACACTTAACTAAATACAACATTCTGGGATGAGAATAAATGGAAATAACTCAGGTAGAAAATACATGCAAAGGCACACAGCCCTGACTGAGTCTTGGTGTTTCTTTCACAATCACGTTTTTGGTAGAAATATAATAGGTAGTTTATCAGAAGTCACTTACAGTGTAGACCTCCTTTTCACAAACCCCCAAATACAAATTGAAAGGATTTTTATGTTAACAATCACCTGTTAATGCCATTGTTTTTGTGGAATCAAAAATTGAAGACACATTAAATACTTACAACTCTCAGACCAAGCATAAGTACAGTTGAGACGTCAAATCTACGGCCACTACTAAGAAAAAGCTCCTCAACATCTTTCCCATACCGCTCCATCACTAAAAATCGCAGTTTGGTGGAGTTATGATCAAAAGACCCTGAACCAAGAAACATGGGCACGCCAAGATGCTTCAGTCGACGAGACTTGCACCAGCTGTTTACTAGTAAAACAAAACATTTAAATGTATTTATTAAAACAGTTTGCTAAACATATTTATGTGCACGGATTGCCCTGACACTGAAAGGGCTCACGGTGTAACACAGATATCTAGGGGTCTTAAACTATCCTTAAGGTGACTCGACCCAGTTTTTTTTGGGGGGTACCATCCTACTTTGAAGCTCTCTGGTATCCCCACCTTTACTTTTATCGTAAGTCTAACACATAGAATGGATAACATATAGATCAATCTACAATATAACATAAAATTTTTGGCGATCGGAGTAAATGTCACGTGGTTATAATGCCACGCCCCTTTGAGGTCTGAGTCGAAAATCTGCTGTTGCCGGCATTTTTTCGTGAAAATCTCTCGGCTACACATAGTGCGCATTAGTGCCTTGCGCTGAACAGAGTTTCACCAAAATCGCAAAGACCCAATTCGAGAAATTCAGCGGTTTCCAAATTTAGGTCATAATTTATGCGAAAATGATAAGCAAACTTTACACGGATTATATCTAATAAACTATGAGATTCATCTCTTTATTTTGGGCATCGTTATAACAGATGGGTCCTTGCAAGTCAGCAAAACGCTTTAGGGCCTTGTAAATGCGCGCGATTTCGAGCAAAGCAAACATATAGAAATTATAGTTTTCGCTATTTGTTGACGTTTGTCAGCGTTTAAGAGTCCTTCTCACGAAAAAAGCATTTTCTTAAAAATTCGTAGTTTTTTTTCCTTCAAATTTTTTCAGGGCCACAATTGATTAACTAACTACCCGGACTCTGAATTTCATGGTCATTGAAAAACTGTGACATTATCTTCTATAAGCCCAAACTTGAGTAAACATTGAAGATTTTTAGCGTTTTGGCTGAGTTTGTGCTTTGGGAGTTGTCTATTGTTTCTAGTCTGTCATTATACAGCATTCTTGTTCAGCACGCGTGCAATGACCACGCTTGGCTGACTTCCGAATGCTCACCGAGATATTCCCGTCACGAGTTGGTTTAATTATTGGCTTGCATTAAACCTATGAAAAAATGATATTTTTTTAATAGTAAGTAGATTTAGTGTGTAGCACTTCTTGATTTTTTTGCAAAGGCACAAGAAGCACGAGAATTGATTAAAAATTGTGACTTAAACCTCTATGTATCACGCGATGGCCTGTCTCACTGTACCAAAATTATTATATCTCGGTGAGCATTCGGAAGTCAGCCAAGCGCGGTCATTGCACGCGTGCTGAACAAGAATGCTGTATAATGACAGACTAGAAACAATAGACAACTCCCAAAGCACAAACTCAGCCAAAACGCTAAAAATCTTCAATGTTTACTCAAGTTTGGGCTTATAGAAGATAATGTCACAGTTTTTCAATGACCATGAAATTCAGAGTCCGGGTAGTTAGTTAATCAATTGTGGCCCTGAAAAAATTTGAAGGAAAAAAAACTACGAATTTTTAAGAAAATGCTTTTTTCGTGAGAAGGACTCTTAAACGCTGACAAACGTCAACAAATAGCGAAAACTATAATTTCTATATGTTTGCTTTGCTCGAAATCGCGCGCATTTACAAGGCCCTAAAGCGTTTTGCTGACTTGCAAGGACCCATCTGTTATAACGATGCCCAAAATAAAGAGATGAATCTCATAGTTTATTAGATATAATCCGTGTAAAGTTTGCTTATCATTTTCGCATAAATTATGACCTAAATTTGGAAACCGCTGAATTTCTCGAATTGGGTCTTTGCGATTTTGGTGAAACTCTGTTCAGCGCAAGGCACTAATGCGCACTATGTGTAGCCGAGAGATTTTCACGAAAAAATGCCGGCAACAGCAGATTTTCGACTCAGACCTCAAAGGGGCGTGGCATTATAACCACGTGACATTTACTCCGATCGCCAAAAATTTTATGTTATATTGTAGATTGATCTATATGTTATCCATTCTATGTGTTAGACTTACGATAAAAGTAAAGGTGGGGATACCAGAGAGCTTCAAAGTAGGATGGTACCCCCCCAAAAAAACTGGGTCGAGTCACCTTAATGGTTTAAAAAGTTACATCATGCTAACTAAATTCATGCACAAAGACAAGCATTGTTAGTTAATTTAGTAAATGTGATTTTGGTCATACTTAGTTCAGGCTTGGCCACACGCTGATAAAATGCAAGCTCTGTGAATAATGGGCCATTGGTGTGGGGTTCCTGTAAATAAAAAGGAATTAAATATTTGACACTTTTTTCGATTTATTTATTTTGTTTGCTTCTTCTGTTGTCTATTTAATTTGTCTGATAACAAAATGCAAGAGGGTAAGTTCTTAACAGCCCATTGTTATTGCTTAATAATGTGTGATGTCCAGCAGGCTATTGTTTTATCATTTTGTCATTATGCAGTTTAGAAAAGGCTTGGTAACACAGGGATCAATTTAATAAAACTTCTGCAAGTATAATATACAAGGGTAGCTATTGTTTACCGAGCCAAAACAATGGCTACACTTGCAAAATTCACTTGTAAAAGTTTTATTAAGTTGACCCCAGGATGCTGCCCTGTATTTATGACCAGATTTTACCAGCCAGTGGTGGTTGTATTGCGAATAGTAATCATAGTTTATAGAGTGTGCTTGAGGCTAGAGTATAGACTGATTGGAAGTGCATGGAAATACCAAAGAGCGCTTCACGTTCACATCTCTCGGCGAACAGGCGTAATCCTCCATAAAAAAACAAACTTTTTACATCCTTGAATGCCCTTGCAAAGTGATGCAAGAATGCAGGTTGTACAATTCCAACCAGCCACCAAAATATGAGTATGAATACTACATATATAGGCTTTAAAGTAAGCTTTTGTCCACTTCTTGTTACTGAAATATCTTTTGAATAAATTTAAAATCTTGGGAAGCCGCAAATTCTTTATTTTATGATCTTACCACTTTAATCACATGTTCTGCATTTTCACCAACAGCTGATCCATTATCTGGAGAAGCTGTTGAAAAGAAAAAATCATCATCATCATAGACAGAAGAAAATCAACATTTTGAAGGGTGCTTATCTGACAGGGTGCGCTGGTATGGGGCCACACAGTTAGATCAAACCTGCACAATCACATAAATTTGGTAGACAACTGAGGCCCTGTTAGGATAAAATTCCGCAAGTCATTAGGTCTTGAAACAGTAACTCGCATAAGATGGTTAAACTCATCAACAACGAATGAGGGTGGGGAATAGTGCCTGAATAAGGTGAACCCATAAGACAAACAGAGCTGAATGCATAGGGTATCCATGACAACCCTGTGAGCAGCAAGCACCAGGCACCGTCACACGGAAAATCAGTGGAAACTAAAATAATTGCTGCACACAGTACTTTACCATGCCAATAGGGATGGGCAGGGTGGGGGTAAAAATCAGTAAAAACAGCCCAGGGTGAGAAACAAACACGGAATCCCCAGCCACCCCACATACTAACCCTTGGGGGACAACTGCTGGCTGGCATTGCTTCATGTAACTTTCATGTACATTTTGCCAGATATAAAATGATGGTTCAAAATGACAGAAGGATGGTTTGAAACTGTGACAGTAATGAAGCCAAGTGCAAATAACAACGTAAAATGCCCCCCCACCACAACATGCCTAAGAAGGATTTTATACGTCAATCAACAAAGCATACCAACAACTTCTCACATTTCTAGTGAAAATGTGGTGGACACAAAGTTTTGCCGCATCCTGTTAGGTAAATCTTAGGGTAATTATGGCTTTGTTATAGCGGTAGAAGGAAATTTCAATACCTAGATACAGAGCTCCGAATCCACCCCAGCCGATCAACCTTCCAATCCTCCATGTTTTCTTGGTCAGGTCTGTCAAGATAATTCCTACAGGCAGTTCGATCATGCCTCGCGGCTTTCGAGGCTTCTTGGTTGCTGCTGGCGCTTTCGTAGCGGCTGGCTTTCGTTTCCGTGGTTTGGCCTTTGCGGAGCTCATGTTTTTTGTCAATTTTGTAGAAAATCGAAAGCAGTATTTTGTCGATTGAGCAGTTAGCAGGAGTGGTCACCCAGGCTTTAGATTTCCCGCCAATTTCCTTTTCCAAATATGGCAAAGTAAGCCTTTTATAGGAATTCGCTGAGCTTCGGAACCAAAGCAGCCGCCACCTTGAAAACCTGTTGACAAATTTTCGCTTTTTACAGCGCCTTTTAATAGGAACGACAGCCTTCTCCACGAAATAAAGGTAATGTAGCTTCTTTCCTTTCTTGTTTATAAAAGAGGAAAAGTTTGTATTTTGAACAGAAGAATCACTATAGCTATGACTTGAACCTTGAACCTTGAAGTTTTCGTTTTGTTTCTTCACAGAATCATGAGTTCCACGTCGCAAAAACATCGCAATTTTGTTAGCGAACCTATGGGAGAAAAGGATGTCACGGAGTTGGCGGGAATCGGAGAAGTTCTGGGAGGAAAGCTCAAGGAAAAAGGATTTGACAAGGCGTATGTTGTTCTTGGACAGTTCCTCGTCCTCAAAAAAGATCAAGAAATGTTTATGGACTGGATAAAGGACGAATGTGGAGCCAATAAGAAGCAGGGTGGAGACTGTTATAACTGCTTGAAGGAATGGTGTGATGCTTTCTTGTAATCACAGAATGGAGGCGGTTACAAGTATATGAACTTTAGTGGCCAATCAAAGGTGTTCAAATTGAGTTTTGTGCAGAAAGCAATTTTATACTCCCCAGCCCTGTGCCCTGAAGGGACCTCTAAATTAATAACTTAAGGTCGGTACACGCTAGGCAACAAGTTGCAGCAACATGTCACGGCACCACATTGCTTTGTGTGTACTGGAGAAATTTTGTGAAAACCTTTGTCTCCGCAGCAGAATTTTGTTGCAGCAACATGTTGGAAAAAATCAGATCAGGCAGAATTTGTGCTACTTGTTGTAGCGACAAAATTCTGTTGCAGAGACAAAGATTTACACAAAAATTCTTCAGTACACAGGAAGCGATTTGTTGCCTGCGATTTGTCCCTGCCATGTGTTGCTGCAACTAGTCACCTGTCCTGTACACATAGAGTGACCTGTCACCGCGACTTGTTGCTGCAACTTATTGCCTAGTGGGTGCTGACCGTTAAACTTCATGTCATAGAGTCGAAGGATATATAAATAACAAACCTAGGGAAGATGGAAATGTGGCAAGCTTTAAAATAATGATCAAGTCAATGATTGGTTGTTTTCTATACTTATAAGTATATATGTTACTCAGTGGTCACACAATAAGCATAAGATTATGCCCAGGCCATAAAGAAGTGATGTAGAAGTATCATGAGCCATTTAATAGATATAAACTTTGAGTTTCTTTCAAATGTTGTCTTGTGTTTGTGTTAGGATAAGGTTGTTTAACCAGTTACACTTGGTAACCGTGCATTATCTCACAGAACGCTTTGCTCGTCTTGCAAAACAATTTTCGAGAGCTCCCTTGCAGGCTATATTTACCCTAGGTGGTGATGTATTGCTAGGAGGGTATGGTTTTTAGCTTTTGACTTGAGTAGGGAATATGATTTTGTAGCGGCATGTCCTAGATAGGGTATTAATATTCTTCATAAAGAAAGAAGCAACAGCCCTTGTGGGCTTGATTATCAGCCTTTGTTCAGGAAATCAGCCTGTGTTTCTACCCTAAAATAACTCCAGCCATCTCTTCTTGGATCAGACCCAAGAGAGTGGCAGAAATCAAGCCTACTGCCCACGCAGTTTGAACCTTTGTCCTAAACAGGGTTCTAAAACAGATTTTCCCCATACAATCAAACATAGCTTCTTTTTTAGGTTTCTTTTTGTTCTTATTCCAAATTCTGAGTTAAGTGTCTTTCCCCCATTCCCTGCTGTTGCTTCAAAGAAAAAATTATGGACAAATGTTTGCCCTGAGAATGTTTTTTACATGATTATCAACCCTTTGAAGACATTTGCCTCTCCTTGCATTAGGGACATTTTGCCAGGCAGCCAATAGCTAACAGCTATTGACGCCATTTACTCAGGAAACAGAAACAGCCAAGGAAGCTCTGCCTATCTCTACACTATGATAGCAATGCTTCTAATATATCGTAGGAGACTGTAGATTGGTATAACAACATTACATTGATATTTACACTGAAGTAAACTAAGTAAGTTGTTAACAAAATAAACTTATACTAGTTATAGTTATTGGTAAGTGCCAAAAAGCAAAGATTATACCTATACACTCATGCTGTTCAATTTGTGTAGACATGTAATGAATTGCAGTAATTTTTAAAAAATTAATTGAAAAAATACATTGAAATAAATTCAATTGCATAAGCGAAAAATACTGTGATAATAGTGCAAACTTAAAGCAAGGGGCACACATACACCAAACCATGGACTGGCCAGTACCTCACGCATGCGCACAGCCATATCACACAGGCAGTGGCAGCCATGGATGCTAAATTTCACCTTTTTTGGGGCTCATTATCATGACGTAATCATTGAGTCAATGAACGGGGAAAACTCGTGTCTCCAAGACCCTTTACTGCTGAGGCGACTCCTTTAAGCGCCAGCTCCACACAACACATGTGGGAGCTGTTGCCTGGGAACCGCAAATCAATTCTCCCATGACATGCGTGGGGAAGGTAGATCACAAGTTACTGTGAATTGTGTGTCAGGAAATTAAAGCAAGAAGCACACATACACCAACCCACGTCCTGGCCAGTATCTCACGCATGCGTTAAGCCACATCACCTGGGCAGTGTTTTACCCCTACTGGAGCGCATCATTATGGGATTACCATCGGGTCTAAGAATAGGGAAAACCTGTCTCAAAGACCCTTTAATGCCAAAGGTAGTGCAAAGCATTCCTTGAAGCGCCAGCTCCACACAACACGTTGGAGCTGTTGGTTGGGAACCGTGGCAGTTTTCCCAAGACATGCGCGGAAGAGTTGGATTATGGGTTGGTGTATGTTAGGCTCGATTACCAGCTGCTGTTCGGGAAAATGAGCCCACACTCATCCCCCGAAAGAGCGGCTGGACGCTTGCGATTTCCTTGGTTGGTTTAAGCCAATCATGTTACTGCCTGCAGATTTTCGTCTGGCAAAGATTGTCGCAGAAATTATCACATCAAAACAGAAAGTCCTTCCTTCCCTGCTTCCTTGATCCATCGCATGGCAAGGCGATTTCAACGGCGTGAAGACACTAGGCGAAATTCTAGAGTCCGAAAGAACACAACGTTTTGTTCGATTGTTTGTTGTGAATGATTGTGGTTGGATCTTTCCAAGGCGCTTTAGGTCTCAATAACTGCATTTGTTATAGATTTAACCGTCCACGTTTATACTTGACAGAGGAACATTCAATACGCTGGAAATTCTGTCTGGTAAATGAGAAACTTTTCCATTTAATTTGGTCCGCTTCCAAGAATCAGTCAGTTTGGAGCCACAGAAGACGCAACCAATATTCGAAGATCAAAGAAAATTAACTACAGTACATGTCGCCGTGTATAGAAATGTACCGAAGAATCTTTTTCAAAATGTAGGGAAATGTCCCGAATAAACTATTTCGAATGTCTTTTGGGTGGCTAAGGGAACGCTTGATGTAATTTTGAGCCAAATGAATAAGAAAATTGAAGACCGGTTTCACTTCCAGTGATATCGGAGACGCCTAAATTATCAATTTTCCAGTTACGTCACAGACAAGGTCAACGGGTTACGCGTCCAGCCGTCTCTCTTCGGGGAGGATCAAAGACCGGACCCAGGAGACGGAAGAGATTGAGCCTAGGTGTATGTGTGCCCCTCGCTTTAAGTTTGTCTTTTGAAAGTAGTGAACCAAACTTCTCTACTGCATAACGAATTGGAAATTCCGACTTTACTTCCTTGCACGTTTTTTCGAGATACTGAATTTCCATTTTGTTTGAAGTTGCGTACATTATTTTGCATAAAATTTAGTGGTCTTGTAACTCAATTTAGAATCCTCAAAAAATCATGTTTAAGTCCGCAAATATTCAACAAATAGTTCTATATTTGGTCTCTTTTTAAAGCTTAATAAGATTTGTGGTGAGCCGATGAAGCCATCCAAATTATTTTCCTTCAGAGATGCAATAAATTTTACCGCATTGTTCCAGCAAGCAAATTCGACAACTATCTCCTTTGATGCAAATGAATATCCACCCGCTAATTGGTTGAAGACATTATGAGCACAGGACTCACAAACAAGCACATGGCTCGTGGATTCTGTATCACGTGTTTGCTCAAAAACAATGCATTCTCTGTTCTGCATTACATCACAAATGTTGCCTTACATTACTATATGTTACATCGATCCAAGATTTTGTCTGCCCCTGGAACTATCGCGCACGTCTCTATTAGGCTGCCACCTTGCAGCCTTGCATCTTCGCGAGGGTGCTTTTTGGCAATCAGTAATCTTGTGATACAAAAGAAGTAAGCCAAAGAGAGAAAACCAGTATTGTACATGTAACTTACAGGTACATTCATTGTAGATGAAGTAACGCAGAGAACTGCAGTGCCACGCCAAACCTGTATCATTGTTCATAAAACCAAAAAAACATTCAATCAATGATTACCTTTATTTTCCCAAACACAATACCATTATTACAAGGCAACATAAAAACACTAACATTAATAATAGATCTTTCTTGCAGTTTGCCCCACTGAGCACACCCAATAAAACAAGGGTGAAGAATTTTCAACAAATTGCTGCACTTTTCAAGCCTAGCCTTGAGTTGGTACTATTCTTCACAGGAATACGGGCAACTGTCCAATACAATATTAACAGCTTGGCTGTATGTTTTAAGAAAAAATATAACAAAAAAAATTGCATTTCCGAATGCAATAAATACTTAAATGTTATAATATATAGTGGAGTACATACTTTTCTACTTTTAATGTCAACTTGAGACTTAAACCTTTCAACACTACCTTCTGGCTTGCAAAGTGAGATACTACATGCAAACTTGTTATGCTCAAAAGATGATTTTAATTATTTAAGGGCAATTTTAGATGAATATTTAATATTAGTCATTTAAACTTCAGTCGCATAATTATACTGGTATTTCCACAGTTGGCCAAGTTTGAAAATTTAGGTTTCTAAGACAGGTATTCCCTTCTAAAATTGCCCCATCCTCAGAGACCCAGATGCGGTAAGTCGGGCTGGGAGAAAAGGCGCAACAAAGGTTTTCAAGCCAAGGGGAGAGCCTGTGGGTACCGACTCTCACCTGACCATTTCCAAACACTAGCTCCTGACTGGACACAAAAAATGCTTGGTATTATTATGCCCAATCGGCAAACAGCATCTCCTGATCTCTTTTTGTGAGTTCGTACACGACGGCTATTGACAGCTTATCTAGCTCGAGCACCAAAGAAATGCACACAGTTTTTTCAGTCTCTATCGTGATTATTCCAGTTGCTTACCTGTTCAAATATTAGCAAACTCTTCTGGAGCTAAATTCCTATCAACCATATCCAAGTTCAGAAAGAGAAAGAAAATTTTGTCACTGCTTGTTTACATCCTCCAAAAACATGAAATTTGGCATTTTCACATGGTTGTCGTGCAGTGACGGCAAATAAATGTACAAAAAAGCCTGATGTACGTGTAAAGTCAAGTCAAGCCTTGTCAAGACATTGCTTTTTTGGCGTTCTTGTCGTTGTCGCTGTCGTGGCATCTTACAGTCCCTGATAATTACAATCCCTTGTTATCGGTCAGAAACAGAATTTTCTCGGTGCAAATCAAATTGATAGCATGCAAAATGTTTTTTTCAACTCATTGGTAGGTCCTCCGTTTTTGATTTGGAAGTTTCCCTTGCAAGCACAACCTTGGTGAACAAACCAGACAAGTATGGTGAGACAATAGCCATTGTGTACATACACACGAAAAGAACTCAGGAGATGCTGTTCGCCGATTGGGCACAAAAATACAAAGCATTTTTTGCACCCAATCAGGAGCCAGCATCCACTTGACCGTTTGGAAATGGTCCAGTAAGATTTGGGGCTTTTTTTATCTGTGCTTGAAATCTTTTGTTGCATCTTTTCTCCCAACCTGATTGCCTACCCCTGGGTCTCTGAGGATGAAATTGCCCCATTACTATCTAACAAATAAATCATAAGAAGCATTCTTTTACCCAATTTCCAGAGACAAAGGAGCCGCTTGACAAGGCATAGTCAAGTTTTTTAGCTTTAGGTGTCTGCATATCATTGTCATATTATTCATAAACTAATAATTAAACTAAAAACTAAAAATAGTTCTACCAGCCAAAGGTGTGAATGTTAACTAAAGACAAAAAACAAACTGCTCAAGATGAACCATTACTGCTTGAATGGTTGTCCAGTGCTTCCTTGGTACACTGCCTGGGCAAGGGGGTATGGAGCTGACCCTTGTGCCCCAGGGGGAGGGTATGCTGTTACTCCAGAGGCCTGAGGAGGAACATAAGGCGGTGGTGCGTCACCTACTGGTTGGTAGAATCCTCCTGGTGGTGGATTGTATCCCATAGTAGGTGGTTGGTTGAATCCCACAGGCGGCGGCTGGTGGTATCCCACAGGTGGTGGCTGTTGAATGACCTGCTGAGTTGTTGTTGTTGCAGTGACTCTCGCACCCATAGGTTGTGTGACTAAAACTGTTCCTGGGTGGTGACGATGACGATAATACGGGCAACAAGCACAGCAGCAGCAAGCCAGTATGGAAATCACAATGGCAGCGAGAACCAAACAGCCAAAGACAATGCCTCCAATGGCTGCCCCAGTGAGGCTATGGGAACAAACGCTCTTACAGGTAGAATCCGAGTCACAGCACTCTCCAGAATCACACTCCGAATTGTACGAGCACGAGTAACAGTTTTTTCGACAACCACCGTCGGAGCATTTCTTTTTGCAGTCGCTACTGTGACAGCATTCTCCGGTATCACACTGTGAATTGTACGAGCAGTAGTAACAGTTTTCTCGACAACCACCGTCGGAGCATGTCTTTTTGCAGTCGCCACTGCGACAGCATTCTCCGGTATCACACTGTGAACTGGACGAGCACCAGTAACAGTTTTCTCTGCAACCGCCATCAGAACATTTCCTCTTGCAACTGGAACTCTTGCAGCATTCTCCCGTACCGCACTCGTAATCGGAGGTACAGAAGTGGCAACTTTGTCTACAGACGTTATCTGAACAGCATTTCTCAAAATATCCACAGTCAGATTTATAGGTGCACGACGTAGCACCTCCCAAGTGCAAAAAGCAAATACTGAGCAAAAAAACAACTTCCTTGAACGCCATTATGATTCTTTAATTAAGACGCAAGGGATGATGGGACGATTTCCTGTGACGTNTCGCACCCATAGGTTGTGTGACTAAAACTGTTCCTGGGTGGTGACGATGACGATAATACGGGCAACAAGCACAGCAGCAGCAAGCCAGTATGGAAATCACAATGGCAGCGAGAACCAAACAGCCAAAGACAATGCCTCCAATGGCTGCCCCAGTGAGGCTATGGGAACAAACGCTCTTACAGGTAGAATCCGAGTCACAGCACTCTCCAGAATCACACTCCGAATTGTACGAGCACGAGTAACAGTTTTTTCGACAACCACCGTCGGAGCATTTCTTTTTGCAGTCGCTACTGTGACAGCATTCTCCGGTATCACACTGTGAATTGTACGAGCAGTAGTAACAGTTTTCTCGACAACCACCGTCGGAGCATGTCTTTTTGCAGTCGCCACTGCGACAGCATTCTCCGGTATCACACTGTGAACTGGACGAGCACCAGTAACAGTTTTCTCTGCAACCGCCATCAGAACATTTCCTCTTGCAACTGGAACTCTTGCAGCATTCTCCCGTACCGCACTCGTAATCGGAGGTACAGAAGTGGCAACTTTGTCTACAGACGTTATCTGAACAGCATTTCTCAAAATATCCACAGTCAGATTTATAGGTGCACGACGTAGCACCTCCCAAGTGCAAAAAGCAAATACTGAGCAAAAAAACAACTTCCTTGAACGCCATTATGATTCTTTAATTAAGACGCAAGGGATGATGGGACGATTTCCTGTGACGTACAAATAGAAAGTTGTAGACATTTGATGATAACTTACATGCATTAAGGAGCTCAACGCATGGCAAGATATGTTTTGGCCGCTGTGTTATGTTAGTTTTCAGTCCCGCTCCCGACCCTTGTTTCCTGAGCAATTTCTTTGGTGTTTTCCACCAAAAACTTGAAATTTTAGGTATGCCTTCCGTCGAAGGTGAAGAAAATGGCGAGGATGAGGTAGAAAGAAGCCCTAATGAGGACGAAAACATGAGTGAAGACGAGGATGAAGAGAGTAGCTTGAGCTCGGACGAGTCATCCTCGGAGTCGAGCAGTTAGTGTTTTCAATTTTCCGCGCTTTGTTTTTCGCCTCATAACTTCGTCTGCCTTCCTGTTAGTTTTCGTATGGTTTTAATGAATCTTTTTTATTTAGTTGACGAAACGGAGAATGAGAGAAGGAGAAATGAGTGTCTGAACGATATGGCTGACTTGGAAAGACAGTTTAGCGACCTCAAAGAGCAGTTAGTATCAACAAAAGTTTTTATATAATTCTGATACTTTAATCCATTCTGTAAGGCGATATGCAATTTTCTTCTTCAATTTAATTTTTTTTTGCAGGCTTTACCGAGAGCGTATTAGCCAAGTTGAAAAGAAGCTAAACGAAGTGACTGCAGGCAAGTGCAGAATGTAAATTTAATTTTCTCTAGGGTGGGCAGGGGTAGGCGGCTGTTAAGTCATTCAGTCCCCTGACCTTGCTTTCCCTGTGTGTGTGTGTGTGTGTGGCTGTCGGCAAATTCACTATTCGATTTATCCTCTTGATTAGCCTTGGCAATAACCACAAGATATGGGCGGATATCATCTATTAGGTCAACAATAGATACAATGATAGAATGCTTAACACTTAAATAAAGTTTTACTACTACTACTACTACTACTACTACTACTACTACTAATAATAATAATAATAATAATAATAATATTACTAATAATTCAAAATCAATGGTGTCAATCATTTGGCTGGTTTGTAGCAGATGTCCCTACAGTTATGTTGGTTGATATGCCCCTCTGCTAGGAATTAAACTTTTTTCAATAACAAGCAGAGCTTGATTAATAATTCCTGTCATAATTTGTCTCTTATTACAGAATCTGCTATGGAGTATACAGGACCAGTAAATGAGCTTAAGGAAATGTGTGAGATAAGAATAGAAGTGGCGGGGATTTTACGTGACTGCAGGGTGAGTTATAGCTTACTTCCTTGTTCAAAACACAATCAAGAGTTCTCTTGGATAAGGTACATTGGTCTTGTGAAGGCAGCCATTTAATCCTATTGTGCTGTCACCAAATCAGTATACTGCACTAGATACATGTAAGTTTTAAATGCCGTGTTAAAATATTTTTACATTTTAAATGGCATTGTTATTTTGTGGATCACTGAAATTTAGTGAAGATACACTGCAGATAGAGATGGATTCTTTTCTCTGAAACATTGTGTTATTGATTTTTCTTTTTCAACAAGCTGTTTGAAATTGTTGTTTCAGTTAGGGAATGTGAAACACAAATATGACGCAGATGAACAAGCAGCCATTCAGCACTTTGAGGTGAGTCAAGTTTACAAAATAAGTTTCATCAAGATCTCATCTAGTTCTCCTTTGTAGTTGTACACCATTCTAAAAATCCCATGGGTGGTACTGGTCCCTTTATGATGGAAACACTGCACTAATGATTGAGGTTCTCTGCAAAGAAAGTTCCCTCCTAATTACTTATCTATTTGCTTTCTTATTGCAGAGTGAAAAGCTGGCTCTAATGGAAAGTATGAAGCAAGAACTAGAGGAAAAAATAAGGAAGTTAGAAGAAGATAAACAAAATATGGACATATCAGCTGGTAATGTTATACATAACGTTTGAAGGATTGCACATGTATCCCTAATGATCATAGTGGTTCTCAAATACCAACATACTCACTTTCTTCTAGTTAATCGCCCTCTAGATAGTTTAAATAATAAAGTCAGCACACCTTTTTACACAACCCTGTAACTAGTTTGAAAGTCTTCTGATTGGTTGCCCACTGGTATTTACTACAATATTTGTAAGAATATTACCATGAATCATTGTGAACCTTAATAATTATTTTTTTTATATATAGACATATGGCTTGAGTCACAGTCACTGAACAAGAAACACAGAAAATCATCTGATGGATCAATGATTTCTGATAAAAGAAGGAAGCCAGTCACAGTTACAGATATCCTTTTTCTGCAGTATTTTCTGTTTATTCCTTTGAGTTACTGTATAATACGGACATCTGTTCCTTACCATTACTACACTCCAATTTGTTTTCTAAGGTACAAAACTGATACATGTAGGTTGGTCCCAAATCTTTTATGCAAGACATACTCAGCATACTACTTGATGTACTATATTCCCGACTTCTCTTTGTGCAGCTCCCTGGTGTTGTCAGCCTTCAGGTTATGACATATGATAAACAGAAAAAACTTATGTGGTAATATATTTCCTTGACCATGTGTAAGTCCATATATTGTTTATATGTTAAGAGAAATGGACATTCTTGAAGACTGGGCAGCGATCAGAAAGGTATATGTGTAGTTGGATCAATTTAATCACCAGTTTTAGGTTTAAAAAGCTAAAATTAATTACAAACAATTTCTTTGTTTTTACTCTCCATAGGCCAAAGGAGCTTTGGCAAGAAGAAGGCAAAATAGTAAGACATGGTTAAATTATTGGTTCAAACTTCATAGCTGTTCTATCTTTACTCTTGCCAAGAAAAAATTGTTGGAAATTATGCTGCAGAGGGTGTTTCAAACGAAAGCCTTGGGAACCTTTTGTCCTCCTATATGATCACTGGGATGAAACTGTAACACAGTTAATCCTATCAGTATGTTCTCCT